TAATGCAAGGTAAGTATTCCTGTTCTTCAGAGAAAAATGCTGAAGAGAAATCAAACTGTCCAAAGTTACACTGATAGTAAGGGTCAGTCAGGCAGAATTCAAACTCACTTTTGATTCCCAAAAGCAAGTCCTTGCCTGTGCACCGGTGTTCCCTTTACTGCTCTCCACTCTGTGAAGTGGTGTCAGGATTTTTATTTTGCAGCCCTCTCCAAGTCAGAGTTTTAAAGGAGCAATGTAAAGATGATTGCCAGAACTGTACTGGTGAAGATTATGGAAAGACTTTCTCTCTGTGATACATCTTCCCAAAGTTGGGGCAGGGGGAGCAAACCTGAGGGTGTACCCTGCAGTGGAGAAGGAGCTGCCCCAGGTCCTGGCTGGAGCTTCAAGAAAGAGGACCCTGAGGCCTCAAATTGATGGATTTAAACCCCTTTTTGTTAATTACCTGTCAGCAAACGCTGCAAAGGCTTGAGTTTATAATTGAGGAAGGTCAAATTTCTTCTAAAAAATGCTAACCAAAATAAAAATTGAAAGACAGATCACCACTTAATTCTGCTTCATAAATCAACAAAGGCACACAGAGATTGGTTGTTTTCTAATAATCTAAAAACAGCTAAAAATGGGAGTAGGGGAGCAAGTAGCACAGGCACCTACATTTAGGATAATTTGTAAATTATCAGAATTATTTTAAATTTGTCAGCCCTTGGTAACATGACTCATACAAGGCTACTCCACCCCTCTCCAGTCTTATAGCTCCATTCTCTCACTTTTGGCTCCAAAAATAACAGATTGAAGTTACCCAGACCCACCATACAGTTTCTGACTAACCCTGCCTAGAATACCTGCCCATGCTTGGCTAACACTCTTGACTGGAGTGTTACTTTGGTTATTTTTTTAATCAATGGCAGGCCTACCAATTACCATGACACTTCTTTCTTTTTAAGGCTGCCAATGATTAACATATTTAAAAGGTCTATATAGAGGCTGAATTGAGACACTTCAGTGGGTACTTCCTTTGGTATTTGATAAATGGAACTTAGAACTATTTATTATCTGCAGGTCTCAGTTCCAGTTAGAGTGTATTCCTGGAGCACTTAAATCATGTGTATGATGTGCCAGTCTGTAAAGCAACAGATGAACTGCACTGGCTTCCTCCAAGGGCGACAGCTGAGAATGTGGCTCTAAAAACTGCCTAGAGAAAGGATTTGAAAAGACATTTCTCCATAGAAGATATAAAAATGGCCAATAAGCACATGAAAAAATGATGAACATCATTAGTTATTAGAGAAATGCGTATCAAAATCAGCGAAATACTATTCCACACTCACTGGGATAGCTATAATTTTTTTAAAGACAGACATTAACAAGTGTTAGCAAAGATCTTGAGAAATTGTAACACACTTTTGGTAAAAATGTAGGTTGGTGCAGCTGCTTTGGGGGACAGTTTGGCGTTTCCTCAAGAGGCTAAACAAAGTTACTCTATGGCCCAGCAACTCCACTCCCATATATGTACCCAAGAGAAATAAAAACATCTATCTATACAAAAACTTTTGCACAAATGTGCATAGCAGCATTATTCATAACAGCCAAAATGTAGAAACAAATGTCCATCAACTGACAAAGAAAATGTGTTATATCCAAAAATAAAAATAAAAACTGCCCAGACGTGTATCCTTTCTAGTAAGGATTGAATGTGACTCTTAGTTTAAGTCCAAATTCCTCATCTTTTTTCCCTCCCCTGAATGGGAAGGAAAGATTTTAGTCATTTTGAGTCATTGCCCTGATAAAGGATTTTAGTTTGTCAGTTCACAGAAAGTTGTTTTGGGGTTATTTTGCAAACTTAAGTAAATTCATATTTGTTTTTCATCCTTCTTAATTTTAAGTTTTTCTCGATATGAAAAATGTGCCTTTTGTAACTTCCTGAGTTATAATTGATATTCAATAAACTGCACACATTTAAAGTGTGTAATTTACCAAGCTGCGGCATACGTCTACATTCCTGGAACTATCACCATAACCAGCATAATAAATGTAGCCATCACTCCCAGAAGCTTGCGCGCATGTTTTGTGAGTGATCACGCCCCATCCCCAGATAACCACTGACCTTCCTGTCACTACAGATTAGCTTGCATTTCCTAGAATTTTATATAACTGGAATCACATAGTCCTTTTTGGGGGGTCTGACTTCTTCCATTCAGCATAATTATTTTGAGGTTCATTTATATATGTTACTGTGTATATCAAAAGTTCATTTTTTTTATTGCTAATTAATAGTTTATTATCTGATTCTTCTATAATTCGTTTATCCATTCATGCATTGATGGACGTTGGGTTGTATGTAGTTTTTGACCATTGCAAATAAAACTGCTATAACTATTCATATAAAAGTCTTTGTATATGGCTTTCATACCTCATGGGTAAATAATAGATGTGAGATGGCTGTGCCACATGGTACGCACAGGTTTAACTTGTTAAAAAACTGCTGAACTAAAGTGATTGAACCATTTTTACGTTCTCTCCAGTGGTGTATGGTTTCATTTGCTTCACATCTTCACCAGCACATGATGCTGTCAGATGGTCAGTCTTTTTCATTTTAGTCATTCTAGTGGGGAGATAGCGGTATCTTATTGTGGTATTAATTTGCATTTCCCTAATGATGATAATGCTGAGCATCTTTGCATGTAGTTATTTGCCATCCATTTATCTTAAGATGTCTATTAAAATATTTTAGCCATTTTTTAATTGGGTTTTCTTATCATTGTGTTTTGGAAGTTATCTATTCTGGATACAGGTTCTGGATCGGATATATGCTTTTCTTCTAGTGGCTTGGTTTTTTTTTTCATTCTCTTAACATTGTCTTTTGAAGAGCAGTTTTGAAATTTAATGAAGTTTAACTTATCAATTTGTTGTTTTATGGGTTGTGCTTTTAGAGTTGTGGCCAAGAAATTTTTGCTAACTCAGTATCACAAGATTTTTGTCTGTTTCCTTCAACAATGTTTTATGGTGTTAGGTTGTACATTTATGTCTATGATTCACTTAGTGTTACGTTTGTATATGGTGTGAGGTATACATAGATCCAAGTTCTTTTTTTTTTTTTTTTTTATGAACAACAAACTTTTCTAGCACTGTTTTTGAAAAACTATGCTTTTTGGTAAAATATTTTTTTCTAATTATAAAAGCAACACATTTGTAAAATACAGAAGAATATAAAGCCTGTATCTTGCTAATTTTTATTTATTTATAACTTATGCAAGTACATTTAAGTGCATTGGTGGGGGTGGGTATATTCTGTGTTCTCCATTTCAAAAATTTACAATTATATCAGTGTTTTCCCATGTGATTTTATTAAATTTATTATTTTTAATGGCTACATAGTTAATATATTTTACCTCTTTTATTAGACATTAATCTGTTTTTATTATTAAAATATACTTTGAACACATACTTAAATCTTTGTTTCTCATCATTTTTCTTTGTAGCTTAAATTTGTAGAAATGAATTATCAAGTCAACATACGTGAACATTTAAAGGCTTTGATTACTTATTTCCAAAGTGTATTCCAGATAAGTTTCAACAGTTTACATTTCCACCAGGAATAACTAATAATTTAATTCTTTATGGCAAGTTTCATTTTGTGAAACCGTCCAGGGTGCCCCTGGACACCCCCTCTCGTTCTCCACACGGTCGTCTACTCTTCCTCTGGTCCACAGGCCGAGTTCCTTGCCCTTCCTCATTCTTACAGATATGACCCTTTTACTGGGCACTGGTGAAGTTAAGCAAACTCCTTGCATCCCTTGCCCGTTTTACAAAAACCTTACCAGGATGAATATGCATCTCTCCTAGGTCATAAAGAAGCCCCTTTTCTTATCTGAGATAAAAATCTCTTCCTTTCCTCCCATTTTGCCTTGTCTCCCAAAATGCTCCATTTTCTTCCCGGCCCCTTCATCCTCAGCACGAAAGCCTTCATTTGTCTTTCCCCTGGCATCCTGAGTTCGCCTTTAGCCACCACCCTACCTTTTTTCTTCTCTTTCTGTGCAAAGCTCTTTGGAAGAAAGCATACTCTTGCTGGAAGTCAAACTTCCTTGTCACTCAACTAGCTGTCCTCACTTAGGGGTTTCTCCCTTCCGTTTTCTCACTTCCCCCCATCCCACCCACTGTGCTCTTTCTTGCTGAGGTTTGGCATCTTCATGCCTAAATGTTGAATTCCATACACAAATTGCAGAATGGTTCTATAACTCTTAGCAGCTTTATCTTGTGGATTTGGCCACCTTTTTCTTTCTTTTCCCTTGAATCCCTTTCTCTGCCCCCGCCCCCCTTTAAAGTACCTGGCTTCTTTTTATAGTGGCAGTCATTAGGCTCCAACATGAGTTATCCGGTTATTTGGTTCGAATCATTCTGTAGAGTAAGCTATACGACTGTCTTTTCTACCTTCCTCTTATCTCCTTTGTTAATATTGTCAGTGGCCTTTCTTCTAGGAAATGCTTGTTTTGCTGGGTTTTGCCTCTGCTTTGGACTAATTACTCTAGCACCCATCCCCTGTATCTCATTCAAACAAACATTCCCTGTAACCTTTTCCTCTCCCCTTCTCACTCCCCCCCTCCCCAAGTTCTTGTTCCTAGTGCTTTTGACCCATGCATTGTTTCACAGTTGCCCCACTTCTCATCATTAGTACACGAGTGTTCAATATGCTGGACATTTGGGCTTCAGTGCACCTTTCTCATTTGAATCCTTGCAATGGCTAATGTCTGTGGTACACTCCAGCCAGAGGGTCATCTTAGAATCTATAGTAATCTAGTAATCTGCAGTTTTAACTTACAAGTTTCGATGACTAACTGCCATGTCCCCCATACACGTTTCCTCCTCTCCTCCTTTCTTTATTGTATATTCTTCAAGGCAAAACTCCATAGTATTCTTTTCCTCTTCTGACCTTCTATGGTACTTGTTTATACCATATAATGTTTTTGCTATTGATTTGTCACTTTAATAGTGCCTTATGGCAGTTTCTATTTAACAGCCATAATGCTTAACTTGACATTAGGTATCTATCCTGCCGCTACAACTAGCTTGTATGCTCCTAGAGAAGAGAAGCCATGTCTGTTTGCATACCCACTAATTCAGATTGGTGCCGTGTATACGAGGGTTGGTAATATTTTCTACATCATTGTCAGGTGTTTATCTAAATAAAGTGGTAGCCGTGTATAACTGAGCATTGAGTTTCTGGCTTAGGGAAATGAAGCAGATGATCCCTGCATAGAGTGCCTGCCATTCCTTTTCTCTCTTGGCTATTGCGCATAGAGGTAGGTCTTCACTACCTGCACCCGCAGAACAGAGCTGAGAATCCAAAACTGTGATTACTTCAGAATACATTTTGGGTTTTCTTTGTGTGTTGTTGAAGATGGACTTTCCACCTGTGAATGCACTTTAAGATGAGTACTGTCTCCTCATGAAGAGTTATGTCCATGTCCTTATCTGCACTCGTGGTTTGCACCCTTTCCTGGGAACAGATGCCTAAGGGACACACTCCTCAGGAAACCAGAATCTACATCTCAGAAGGTTTTTCCCAAGACTGTTATAAAGAAAATAGTGATGTTTAGAATATAAGTGAAAAAATAGCAATTTTGAGAAATAGCAGTAGACTTCAAATAAAAATATGAACAGTTTAGATAACTTAATTGTGACTCGGGGAAAATATGTTAATATAGGGATACTGATTTATTTACTTTTCACTTTTCAATGTACTGTAAATATTTTGTTTTACCTTTGTTTCTAACAAGATTTAAGATAGATTTTCCAATAAAGATAAAATATAATGAATATGAATAAGTGATAATGAAAAAAAAACAATTTGGTTCATATGCCATTGACCAGATTTGGTCTGACTTTTGGAATTTAAAACTAACTCTTCTTTTCTTTTTAGGTTGCCTCTTGGTGCTGCTTTGGCCGTATTTGGCACCCAGAATGCTTCATTCTGTCATGGTCTATTAATAAGGTTACCTTGCTAGAGTTTGGAGCAGGGGCTCAGGTAGGTGGCTTTTATCATTATATGGCATGGCTTTCAAAGTGATCAATCACTCCAGTTTCTAAATAACATAAGATAAAATATTAAAGCTTTGAAAAGCATGCCACATAATAAGCATGCCACTTACTGTCTTAAGGTCTGTCTATACATATTGTGTGCAGTAGGACTTCATTAATAGTTACAGTCTGATGGAAGGATTGGAATACTGACAAGGAACAGTCTTCCTTACTCTGCACAAAATGCATAACTGCTTAAATAAGAACTTATTTAATCATGTCCTCAAATAGCCCACAGGTGAACTCTTAAGCTCTTCTTTCTCAGGACCCTGCTCAGAGTAATTATCCCATGTTACCACTATATCTCTTTCTGCTACTGGGAAAGATCTGCTTATCTATAAGCAGGTGGGGAGGAAGGCTAGCTTTGCTTGCCGGGATGGGGCAGGTACTAAAACAAGGAGCTCAGTGGGTCAACAGCAGTTTGTTAGCGCTTGTTGGAAAGAGGACATACACAGGCATCTAGATTTCCCAGCCTGTAGATGCAGCTCAGTGGCACAGAATCTAGGTGTAGCAATACTTGGAAATAAATACACATGGATTTCGCTTCAGGTAAGTCTCAGCAGGGCCTCCAGACACAGGATTGAGGTTTAGAGGCCAGGACTGTCAGCCCTAGGGTGGGAAGACTGGTAAAAACAAAGATGGCTGTGACAAGTGCCAGAGGATGGGCTCAAACTCTACCGACGGTAGGCAGGGCCTCACAGTCTACATGAATAGAGCTTTATAATCAAATAAAAGGTACATTGATTAACCTGATTAAAACTCTCTAATCACAGCATTCTATGGAGATTAAGTATAAAATCAACTTAGCATAACTTTTTTGGTCACTTGTATATTATAAATATTTTTTAAATGTATGAAAAGATGTTAATGGTTTTTTAGTGTTTCAAGTTACAGATATTTTTTTTCTTTTTCTACTTCATTGTAGTTTTTAAACTTGTTTTAACGAAGCTGGTTTTTTGGCAGCCAGGAAAAGAAAAAAGTTTTATTTCTTTTACTTAGTCAACTACATTTACATAGATTTTCTCTCTTGATTTCTCTTGTATATGCAATCAGTCAAAGGTTTTCTCTGATATTTTCAATGTCCTCCTCACATTTTAATTCACATGAACACATCCTCTTTAAAGATTTTGAATTTGACTTTGTCCCTTTTTCCGTCCCATAAAACTTCATTGGCTATTTCCAAATGGTAAATTGTTATCAGTAGAGGTGACATGTGCTTAAGGAGATATGAAACAGAACGTTTGAAAACACAAATGTTCTGAAAAATGCCGACCAACTAAGTGCTGCCCAGTGTGTTTCTGTGCTTGTCAGGATGCCTGCAGGCCTCTGAGCAGCATGTGCCCATCTCCCTAGTTTCTGACATCCACTGACAGAAACAGGACAGACTCCAGGTGGTCGTGATGCTCCCCTGAATTTCCACCCCTCTGTCAAAACAAACATTTCATTCTGTGAGGTTTGTCTTCTAAGCTTGCATTAAACCAGCTTGAGATTCCAGGAACCCCAAAATGTGTTTACCTGCTTGTTTTGATTCCTAAAATTCTTTTAAGGGACTATAGTTATGTTCAACAGATATTTATCAAATGTCTACTGCATGCCAGGTCCCTGACCAGGTGCTGGAGATATAAAGATGAATAGTAGTCTCCCTGCAGGTGAATTTACAATCCTGCAGGAGAGACAGGGGATTTCAAGAAGAGCTTTACAGTCCGTATTTTAGAGGTAAAAGGCTCAGAGAGGTAAAGTTCTGAAGTTCATTCTTGCTCAAGTAAAATTAAAATTGGTCAAAGAATATGATTGTCAAATCTCTTCTACTTGTGACAGCTGGAGGAATGCATGGGTCCTCTGCAAGTGGAACAGGGAGTAGCCACCCCTGACTTGACAATTTTGCATAGAACTGACCCATTTGCCTTCAATTATGTGGAAATAAATACAGGTGGTTGTCTCCACAGTGATTTTGTCCTGGACAGCCACATAGGCATAACTCGGGGAGGACAGAGTCATGGCATGTATGGCGCCTTCCCAGGATGTGGGTTCTGCTTCCATTGGATTGTTTAGTGCTACTAAAGATTTTCCACACACACTTAACATTCATACTTCATGTATAGCATAGCACAAGCCTATATTTAAAGTGCACTTTACTTTGAGATGGCTTAAAACTAATTCTCTGCATGAGCTTTTATAATTAAGGAAAACCGTCTTTCCTCATTACTTTGTCTTAATGTGTATTATTTCTGCCTTTTCATTTGAATTTATAGACAGATTCAGTATGAGTGCTTGGTGAGTTCTAACATGAAACCTGGATTATGCTGTATTTGTAATTTTAATAGCATTAGACAGTTAACCATAAATGAATGGAGACATGTCCTCCAAGTGTTTAGGATTCTTCAGTGTGAACATGTTTATAGTTGGTATTAAGCATTTTTATTGTAGCCCCAGCAATTTAAGGGGTCAGTGGTACTAAAAATAAAAACAAGTCTGCAATTTGGAAACTACGCAACTTTCAGATTGAGATGATTTGTGAGCTGCATACTTTATAATCCTAGCCAGAGCACTAATATTTTGGAAATGCTTTATACAAAAAAACAACAACAACAACAAAAAACAGACAAAACCAGGAAAACTTCTAAAAAATGGTTTAAGTTTTCATTAAGCAGTCCTAGTTTGTATAAAGATATAATTGCGACTTATTGCTCTCTCATACATCATTGCTTCCCTCTTGCACCATTTGTCTTTCATTTCTTGTTTGCAAATACTAACTGCCCTATGTGAAGAAAATGAAAACACCCCTGATGTACCACTCATCTGTATTTTTTCATTTTATTTTGATAAGAATATACAACCAAAGGGGGGAAATCCCCCACGTAGTGGTTAAAATGAAATGCTAACTTCTAAGTTATAGACCTTTAAAAGAGAGTTTCTAAAAGGAAAGAAACCTTTTTAGCCTAAACATTTTTGCTCTATAAAATAATTAACCAAGGAAAATATTTCTGAATTGGAAGATAAAATTTATTTAAATACTCCATCATCATCAGAGTGTCTGTTCATTCTCTCTGGGCACTCAACAAAACCATACCCAGGTTTAAGGTGGCCCCAAAAGGAACATCCTAATTTACAGATAAGAAAACTGACATTAGATTTTGTTGGTTCTGCTTTGGTGGAATTCATTGATTTTTTTTTCCCCTGTTGGTTCTTAAAATCAAATGCTTCTGCTATTTTCCTTCACTTCTCTGTTTGCTTTTTATTTGTATATTAGATATAAGGCTTTCTAAATATCAGTTAAGGCTAAATTTTAATGGTAAATTTCAAAAGGGTTATCTTAGATGTGCATTTTAATGAATTGCTCAAACGTTGAAAATATCAAATACAGCAATTCAAAGAAGGCACCCCTGTTTTTAATTAATTTTAGTTAACTAGGACACCCACTATAGGAAACTAAGTGCTGAATTTTCAGTATTCCAAGTATAAGATGAGTTAGCTCCAGCTTTGGCGGGTCAGGCGCAGACCCAGTGCTTTGCTGTCTCCTGCTTTGCAGTGGGCACTCCAGCTCCTTTCTCTTCTCCTCTTGAGACATCAGCAGCCCTGTCTAACCAGCTAATCATCCAGCCATCCTTCGTGCTCCATGCCAGGCATGGATGCAGGGACTAGGCATGTTTTCACTTCAGAAATTTTTATTTGGAATGGGAACCAAATTGATATTATCTTCTTGTACTAATTGATTCCTTAGCAATAAGATCAATGAGAGAAGGCTTGTTTTCTGAAACAAAACAAATATTTTTAGACAGCTCTTATTACAGTTGCTATTGTTTCAATCTAAGACTTTACAAAGCTAAGTTTCAAAAATGCCTTTCTAGTGGCATTTAGTTTGTTGAACCAAATTGCAGCCATACTGTTTTATTTTTTACTTGAACATAGATGTGTATATTCTATCCTGGGTCCACTATAGTGACTGAGCAAGACTATATTTCATTTGCTGGAAAACACTTGCCCTCCTTTAATTATTTGCATTCATTCACCAAAAATTTTACTTTTATGAGAAACAGCAGTGAATAAAACTGGCACAGCTCCTGCCCCAGTGCTGCCTACAATCTATTTTTAATTCTAAGATATTTTACAGTTACAAGATATTTTTTTCCTTTTATTCTTTAATAAGTAATTTTACAGTCCTGCAAAAATTGAGTACTGTAAAAATTTCCACATTACTATATAGGATCAAAAAAATATTTCTAAGTATGCTGTTGCTCTTCAATTATATTATCTTGTTAATAATCTATTTCACATTATTCAAAGCTTTATTGTGTCTTACATATGTAAATTAAAGTATTAACTACTGGTAAGTTTCCTTTTGCTACCTACTTATTTACTCTATATGAAAAACATGTTTCAAGCAAATGTTGACATTTTCTGAATTGTTTTCTAATGGTGTTTTATGATTAGCATAAAGGAGACTAAAGCTTTGATTATGAATGACATTTGCCCTTAATTAGCAAAGTATATGTTTGACTTTTAACATAAATATGAAGGAATTATTGATGCAGGTAAGTGTTGTAAAAATTCACAGCTAGTAGAGAATGACTTTCAGAACTGTGGCATTTTAAGTATAGAAACAGTTTCAATAGACGTCTCTTCCTTTGCCAGCATCCTCATAGGAATTTGTTTTAGTAGACCCTTGATGTGTGATTCATTTTCACTTGTTATTTTTCTGTGAGTCACTGTTTTAAAATGTAAAACATGGAAGATAAGCCTGTGCACACACAATATCCCCTTTAATTATTATTTTTATGTATGCAAAGTTGCCCTAGGAATAAATGCCTGTCCTGGTATCAGCAAAACCTAGAAGGGTATTCTGAAGTGCTGTTTCATCTTAGGGTAGTTTGAAATGGTTATATGTACAGTTTCTACCTTGTTTCACAATTCTTCAGATCAAGCTAAGGTGAACTTTAATAATTTGAAAAGCATAGTAACCAATGTTTAATATGTAAAAAGAAAGAGTACGAATTTTGTTGTGCACTTTTCAGAAGAGTAGTCACTGTTTTCCTTTTTAAATGTTTTTTAATCCTATAAAAGAATACACAAATAATTTTAGTTGACATTTTAGTTATAGGTTTATATAAATGCACACTATATTTTTTTATGTTTATTATACTAGGCCAAATAATAATGAACTCTAACCAGCTCCTAGTTTCTTTTGTTTAGGGAAATAATTAGCAGTCCTTTGAAATTATTTGGCCACTTATAAGAACTCAAAATAGTTAGGTCAAATTTAGGGAAGTTATCGTAATATTGGAATTATGTTTTGTGATAAAATGAACGAAAATGATCGCTTTATTTGTGATTTCATTTCAGACTATAAAATATGTAACAGGTAATTTAGACCTGTAATATTTCAACTCAAGATGTTTAATTTTAAAGTATATTGAAATACTTCTACTCTAAAGGATTTTTATAAATGCCAATGGACAGTAAGCATAAATAAAATTTTTATGAATGTATTTGAGATGCAGTAAAAATTATGTTGGTCAGGAAAAGAAGAAAGAATATATGATTTGTTGTTTACTAGTCAACTTTGGTTTTAGATTTTTTCCTACCCAAATCACTATCCATTAGACAATTATACTAGTCATTATTTTGACTGTTACTTATATTATTTAAAATTTACTTTGCAAACTGTCTTTATTAAAAGAAGCCTTTTAAATCGTAAATGTATTTTCCTTGGGGGATCATATTGGCAGCTCTGATAGAGAAGATAGGCACTACCTCCTGTTCTTGTTTTTTAAGTGGAATGACAGAATTTATCTACTTGCAAATGGGTTTGCCAACTTGCTCTTTTAGATTGCATTAGAATAAGAGTGAAACAGGAGTTTTAGGGCATAAGCCCCTGTTTAACCACAAATACGCTGTCAAGATGTTCAGCTTCTCTGGGCCTGTCACCTTAAAATGGCAGTGATGATAAATGTGTCCACCTCTCAGATCCATTGAATTCCAGGGAGGTAATAGAGATGGAAACGCTCTACACTTGTAAGGTATTTATATTATTTAAATAACAGAATACACAAAACAGACTCATATTCTTAATTACTCTACCAAACACTCAGTATGTGCCCTGGGCAAGTAAGTATTTACAAAGTTAATTTTATTATTTCGCAGTTTTGATGTGCAGAATTCAGCTCTTCCATTTATGCATGTCCTTGCTTTACAAAAGAATGGAGCTTTTGCTTTAACTTTTTAAATATCTTTTATTAGTCTAAATTTTTACTTTTCTTGTCTTAAACCATGAGAATAATGCTGCTTTCAAATACACCCTTAGTATTTTTGTAATGATGCTTGAATGTGCTCTATTAAATATTTTACTTACACATCATCAAATTCTTTAAATACATGAAAATTTGATTTCAAGGGAAATTAATTAGATTTGTGTTTAGAACATTAAGTAATATTTTCATTTATTCTGTCATTTGGTGAATCCTTATTGTATTTTAGCTATTTGATTTATATTATCCCTCTCGAGTTCCTTTAATCATGATTCTGAACATTCATCTCTAAAATACTCAGTTTACTAAGCTCTCTGTGCCCTGTACTCTCTCTAATAGATCATTCCAGTTTTTTCTGCCTGTGAGCACTATTTTCACACTTACTTGTACAATCAAAAATTATTAACAGTTTTTTTTGTATACGTGGTCTTAGTCTCCTGAAGATCATGCTGCTAATAGGCATTTTCAAGATATTTTAAGATTTTTAGCAGTGAACTCTTAAAACCAGATGATGCTTTCTTCCTGATATCCACTTCTTCTATAGCAAACCTATATTTAAATTCCCTTGCATGCTTTTGAAATATGAAGAGCACAGAGTTATTGCTACATTTCAGCAATCCTTGCAGCATTCAGAGAGATAAATTGACAGGTATTGCAGGTAACAAGCCCAATTGCACAAGCATGTGCAGTGTGGGCATGTGAGGTGCTGTCATCAGGAGGCTGCTGTTCTTTGGTGACGTTCCATATGCATTCCAAGAGAGAACTGAGTTTTTCTCTTCCATAATATTAAGCTTAATAAAACTTTGATCCATTTGATTTACAAATAATAACTCTAATATCCATTTCTCTCAGTAGGCAAGTTAGATTTAAAAAGTTAAATTAAATTTGGGAAAGAAGTAGGGAGTCATTCAGCATCACAAAATGCCATTTATGTAGGTAATACTATTTTACTCTTTGTTTCTGCATTTATTTGGTCGTGTAAATGTGCTTAGAACTAATAAATTTGCAATTGGTGAAAATTAATGCATGACTTGTCAGCAGAGTATGGAATGTAAGCATGTGCCATGAAATTGCAATTCTTTTATTCTTTATTTTCCGTCATTTACATATTGGTTCCGTTTAGAGTGTAGTACATTCTTATTTTTTGTTTCATAGATTGGCCAAAATGGGAAGGACTGGATTCTGCTCTCTTCCACGAAGAGTCAGTGGGACTGGCTAAGATCAAGGTCTGAGGCTTTTTCCATCTGTCATCAGGTATGCATTGAACAAAAATCACTACAGTTCTATGCATGTATCTTTAAAGTAATTGATTGATATGCATATTATAAATGTGGACTTTTATTTGATATTGAGCTCATAGCCTTATATTTATCCTGTAGTGTTAAATGCAACAGTAACTAATTTGAGCTTTGTAATATATTGAGATAAAAAGATATTATTAGCCATGAAAAAATTTCAGCTGGTCTTAGAAAAGTGTAATATTTGAAATCTGCAATTCTTCATTGCTCAGTATGTACATCCAAAGATAACAATTAATTTGTTACTCCATGTTGAGTATCACCAATTTTTATATAATTAAATGTTTGTATATTGTTTCATGGTGTACTTTTTATAATTTTTTCAATAACTTAGAAGTTATCATTTTTCTCAACTGGAATTCTCTGTCTGTTATGGTTGGATCTCATAACACAATGACAGATATGACCAGTCTTTGAAATATTTTCAGATATTAGTTATATACAGGGATTTAGATTCTTTGCATTGTCTTGATTTTATAGTTGAAAAATGTATTAGCTTGTTTCCTACAACGTTCTAAATAACTGCATGAAAGCATCATATTAGGAAATCAGAGAGTCAAAATTGCTTTTTTCCCCCTGCTTTGGGAGATTGCTTTATACCAGTTTACAGTGTCATTACTGGTTTCAGCAGAATAACTTTAGATATTTCTGAGAGAGGCAGAGAAGGTATCTCCTGAATGAGAATATAACAGGAAAAGAACAAGTCCTTGAGATTCCAAACCCAATCTTCAACCAGAGGGCACATACTGGATTAGCATTAGTAACGTCAGTTGCATTATTATATTATGTTCATGTCACTTTTAAGCTGCAGTGAAGACTTAGACAATCTGAACAGCATGAAGAAAGGCCTTGCCTGTGTTTGCCTACTGATGAAAAAGTATACATGAACCAAACACTGATTAACTTACCCATAAGCTTTACATTTTAATCATGAGTGGATAATTACTCTATTTTACCTGTTTAGTGACACCTCTACATTAAAATACAATAGGATCTGTTGTAATATACACTTAATTTTACAAAAATGTAGGTTAAATTTACAACCTCTTCAAAAATATAACTGTAATCTGAGGTCAGTGTCATACCTCTAGCTTGTAAAGACAAGTGTGAGTCTTGTGCCAAAGACAAGTGATGTGAAGGAATTTATTTTCTTTTTTTTTGAATATATAATAGGATTAAAAAATCCAATTGATTAATAGTTTATAACAGTAATTTAGCCATACTCAGTTTTCAGTTTAAAAATCAGATCTTTTTAAAAGAGGTTATAGGTATTTTCATTTCTATGTCTTTTTTTAAATTTCTCTTTATTGTTGAAAGTATTACAAATGTCCATTTTTCCCCCATTGACACCCCCTTCACCCTACTCCTGCCCCCCCCCCAAGTCCTTCACTGCACTATCATTTCTGTGTCTCTTAAAAGTATATTTCTAGACTAACATTCATGAACCTCAAGGAATCATTGAATTCTTTTATGTCAGTTGAATCTTTGGGGGTTTGGTTTCTTACTCTGAGAAATACAGTTGATAATATTTACTCTCTCATGTCCAAAAATTTTCAAAGGTTTCAGTCCTTTTTAAAATTTTTGTTTAAGTAGACATACTCTTTGTCATACAATATGTTCATTTCATTCTTTCTCAAAGCACCGATAATGAATTGAAACTCTGACACGTGTTTTTACAACCTGAAACGCCTCCATAATGCTGTATCCTTGCACAGGTATTGTGCTATAAGCCAAAAGTCCCACTGGTGTGCTGCACATGGGTTACAGGTGTGTCAAAGACTGACCCCTCCGCTCTTGGGGAGGCCTGATGACTCTGGCTCAGTCTGCCCAATGAACAGAATCATTTTCTATGATGCGAAAAGCGGTGAGGAAAATCACTTCGACCAAATCCTCCTTCCCTCCACATGACATGGAGCCATGATCCTCACCTAATGTGACATCAAAACGCTTTACCATGTCAGGAATGCATATTTGTTATGAAGATAAGTCATTTCTACTCTTGACTCAGAAATTCCTCTGCATGTGATGACACTGGTATAAAGAATAAATTTTCATTTTGGGTGATGCATTCAACTCTTTCAGGCCTCTGGTGTCTGTGCCTTGAATAGGTCTTCCATGGACTAAATGGTTCACAAGGTGCCTAAAAGAGTTTTCAGTTGCTTATTTATATTTTATTTTCCTGTAATAAAGAATGTGACTAGAGCCAACTTGTACAAATTAAAATGATTTTGACATTAAATATTTGTGGAAACGTTTTTATGTTCTCAGTCAGATTTATGTTCTCTAGTCCCTTGTAAAATTTGAAGCATAATAAAGTCACTTTTAGTGTCATGTTTTTTGTTTGTTTTTTTCATAATTCACAGTTCTGTTTATTCTGTGATGGCATATAAGTCACAAACAAGACACTAAAAACAAAGAAAAACTATAAACACCACCAGTGGAGGGATCTGTTAGAACCATGTCTCATTGGGAAACTACTGAAGTGCCTTGTAGATTAGTATCATGTTTTGATGCTTCCTGAGAGCTTCTGAAATCGCTACTGCTTTTCCTCAGTACAACGTTTGTCAGGTGGGATTTCAAGAGATGTATGAACTGTTCATTCTGAGCAATGCATTAATATGTATTTTGACAATATAAAGAAACCTACAGATATTACATTAGACCAGCTGAATCCATTTTATGATTTCTTCTTTAATTCAAAAGCATCACATAGCAAATAAAATTTTTTAAATTAAATTTAGTTACAAACTAGTTGTTTCTTATTTTTTTTTCCAGTCCCTTTTTGCTTTCTTTTACGACCACATGAAACTTGAGAAGCCACCTAAAGCTAAATCATTTAGTGGAGTTGGGCAGTTCCCAAGTGTCCAACAAGAAGGCCTGATTTAGGCTGCGATGGCCACTGTCATTCCTGGTGATTTGTCAGAAGTAAGAGATACCCAGAAAGTCCCTTCAGGGAAACGTAAGCGTGGTGAAACCAAACCAAGAAAAAACTTTCCTTGCCAACTGTGTGACAAGGCCTTTAACAGTGTTGAGAAATTAAAGGTTCACTCCTACTCTCACACAGGAGAGAGGCCCTACAAGTGCATACAACAAGACTGCACCAAGGCCTTTGTTTCTAAGTACAAATTACAAAGGTATTAAACTCTATTTGTCTTTCAGATTATATTTGCTATGATGTTGGCTATGTGAAGCCAGTGTAAACGTATATATTTGTATACACATTTTTTAGCTGATTTGCAGAGAGGAAATGTTAAGTAGATTAGACATTGGCTAGTTTTAGTATTCTAAATCACATACTTTTATGTGTTAGTGTCTTGGATTTTTTTAAGTGAATGCTTAATGAGAATAGAATTTCCGTTTGTACAAAGAAATTACAAGAAAAGGTATGGACGTTTACGTGAGTATGTTCAGTCTTGCTCATTTGCTTTTGTAGTAATAGCTAAAAACCAGCCAGTGAAAACTAAAGTGGCAACTTAAATGACTCAAGTTCTGCAGTATTTAGGTATATTAACTATCCTTGTAGTATATGTTAAGTTTAAAAGTGTCCATTATTAGGGAAATTCTGATTTAGCTTAGCAGTTTAGCTTCCATTTGAAAAGTGAATACATACCATTTTTGTCATGATACTTACAGAATATGTCTGTGTTTAAAGGCACATGGCTACTCACTCTCCTGAGAAAACCCACAAGTGTAATTATTGTGAGAAAATGTTTCACCGCAAAGATCACCTGAAGAATCACCTACATACACATGATCCTAACAAAGAGACGTTTAAGTGTGAAGAGTGTGGCAAGAACTACAACACCAAGCTTGGATTCAAACGTCACTTGGCCTTGCATGCTGCAACAAGTGGTGACCTCACTTGCAAGGTCTGTTTGCAGACTTTTGAAAGCACAGGAGTGCTGCTGGAGCACCTTAAATCTCATGCAGGCAAGTCGTCTGGAGGGATTAAAGAAAAAAAGCACCAGTGCGAGCATTGTGACCGCCGGTTCTACACCCGGAAAGATGTCCGGAGGCATATGGTGGTGCACACTGGAAGAAAGGACTTCCTCTGTCAGTATTGTGCACAGAGATTTGGCCGAAAGGATCACCTGACTCGACATATGAAGAAGAGTCACAATCAAGAACTTCTGAAGGTCAAAACAGAACCAGTGGATTTTCTGGATCCATTTACCTGTAATGTTTCTGTGCCTATAAAAGATGAGCTCCTTCCGGTGATGTCCTTACCTTCCAGTGAATTGTTATCAAAGCCATTCACAAACACTTTGCAGTTAAACCTCTATAACACTCCATTTCAGTCCATGCAGAGCTCGGGATCTGCCCACCAAATGATCACAACTTTACCTTTGGGAATGACATGCCCATTAGATATGGATGCTGTTCATCCCTCCCACCACCTTTCCTTCAAATACCCATTCAGTTCTACCTCATACGCAATTTCTATTCCTGAAAAAGAACAGCCATTAAAGGGGGAAATTGAGAGTTATCTGATGGAGCTACAAGGTGGAGTGCCCTCTTCATCCCAGGATTCTCAAGCATCTTCATCTAAACTAGGGTTAGATTCTCAGATCGGGTCCCTTGATGATGGTGCAGGGGACCTCTCCCTGTCAAAAAGCTCTATTTCTATCAGTGACCCCCTAAACACACCAGCATTGGATTTTTCTCAGTTGTTTAATTTCATACCATTAAATGGTCCTCCCTATAACCCTATATCAGTGGGGAGCCTTGGAATGAGCTATTCCCAAGAAGAAGCACATTCTTCTGTGTCTCAGCTCCCCGCACAGACACAGGATCTTCAGGATCCTGCAAACACTATAGGTCTTGGGTCTCTGCACTCACTGTCAGCAGCTTTCACCAGTAGTTTAAGCACAAGCACCACCCTACCACGTTTCCATCAAGCTTTTCAGTAGGAGTCCAAGACATGGATTTATTACAGAAATGTATGTGTAGCCCTGCCTTAGATGACCATTTTTATTTTAGTGCCTACTTTTAGACAGTATAAAAGTTTCTGCTTTTTGTATAGTACCAGTTTTCAATAAGCCAGTATAAAATAGAAACTAGCTTTGGAACCATTGGTGTCCAGTTATGTTTACCTGGGTATTTCGTCCTAATTCACTGCCAATTGTCATATTTTAAGATTATTTCTCATATAAGAAAGCCGTTGTTATTAGTGAAGTCTTACAAATCCCACATTCAAATTACTTTTTGATCTTAGAATTTTTATTTGTGTCTATTACTAATGGCTCTGCCTTTTGACATTTGGCTCATTAAAAAATTTTGCAATAGAATGTATATTTTCTAAAATGTATATGAATAACCCAAGAGTTTTTTAAATCTTTGCTAGCCTCTAAATGGATTCATAAATCAAATGTTTCAAATGAAATAAGAATCCAGTTTTGGGAGATAACAAATGTTTCTTAGATATACAATAATTTCAGGTCAGTATATTTTGAAGACTTGCTATTGTCTGGCTCAACTATTTGCTGTCTTTGTTGTGCACATATAAGGAAAACAAAACTTAAACACAAAGCACCAGTATTTATAGCAAAAAGAGACTCCTGATAAGGTGGCACAGCATTCCATGTTACTTAATAATTGGCCTTAAATTAGTACACAGGATATTTTGCCACATTTCAAACTGCTTAACTTGCTCTCTTTCCATTTAATAATACTAATGTGTATGGCATTGGAGTCTTCAGAGTCAATATATAGACAGCTCTCTTCAATCTTCCACCTTTCAAGGCCAAAGGGTGGGTCAAATACAGCCAGCAATTTTATTTTCATTTAGTCCACAGTTAGTCCAGAATATAGAGCCATTGTGGAACACAGGCGTTAGGTGCATTTACCCCAGAGTGGACTGTCTCAGCTTAGATGGAGTGATAAACATCCTAAGCAGGAACATAGATGTGAAGCATACAGTTCCAACTTGCGCCCAGGGGTCATGCCACCCATTGCCAGAATCAGACTGTTTAAAGCAAAAGCCTATCGCTTATATCACTTGTAGCTAAATTTAATAACATTTTCTTTCCCTTAAGAGCCAAAAGCAAAAAAACAACAGTTTTGCCCCAGGGTATCTTTCTTATTCAGTGTTAATTCACCTTTCCTAGCTATTTTCAGATGGAGAATTTAAAGTGAAATGTATTAGAAAACTATTTGAGGAATGACCACAAAGTTTAAGCAACTGAAAATATATACAGTAAAACCCACTTTTACACGTCTCTGGGAAATGCAGGGAATGTTGCAAATAAATAAGTTGAATTTGTAGAGGGGGGAAAAAGGTCAAGTAAAACAAGCACTATCTTAGTTAATGTGAAAATAACCGAGAATTTTCTGTTTACTGAATAAAATAGTTATGGGTTTTCCTCATGTTAGACAATGACCATAATCTTCTGAAAGGTCAAATTATTGTATTTTTCTAATTATCAGTAGGGACATCAACCTAAAAACTTATCTGTTAAGCACTTGTTAACACCTTATTTGGGAGCCTGTCTGTTGGGGCAGGTGGGGGGTGGGATGAGGGAGGTTATAGAAGAATATATATCTCTTTAAAAAAGAAAAAGAAAAAAAAATTTTGAGCACTCAGCCCTGTATGGAAGCTTTTTTCTCTTTTATAGGGCCAATTATTACTGCGGATTGCAATGTTTACCAAGAATTTCTAAAAATGAGTGCAGATTACTGAATATAATGCATTATTTAAAATATTTGGAAGTAGAATAATTTGTGGAGGAATGTACATTGTAATAATGTAAATGGGGGTTTCACTCTATATATATCTACACACACACACATTTATCGCACTTCATAGAATCAAAGTTGCTCTCTTAAGGAACTTTGGCTCCTGATATTTTATGCTCCTATTTTTTTTAGTCCTAGGAGCAGTAGTTTTTATACTTATGTATTTAAATTTTATTATTAAAAATTACATTTTATAAAAGTGTTCCAAAGGCATTAAAATTATATATGTTAATAAGGAAATACATTTAAAAAATTTTTCAAACTGCTCCTAAGCTTTTGATTAGGAGAATATTTGCTCTGAAAGTAGGCTTTTAGCTCTGCTTTATTACTGCTTCCTTTAGTTTCTATGAAACAGATTGCTTACCGAAATCATTAGTTGAATGATTAGTGTTCAATATTGCTTTAATGACCATTTTTAAAAATGGAAAAAGGAAATTTGGTGACAGAGCACAAATAAATAGAAAACCTATTTTTTAAATAGAAATCACAAATACAAGTGTGGAAACACTACTTTATCTAAAATTTGCTAAAGGAAAAGTCAAATTGATTAACTGAGACGTTGGCCTTAGTAGGCTGTATTTCACTGCTAATAAAAAATTAAAAAGGGAGTACCAGG